GATATTACACATATAATTAAACTTAAATATTAAAATTATTAATTACCACAGCTAAAATGAGTGTTAACAGTAGGCAACACATTCTGTCAGGTCAATAAATAGCTGTCACTACTAAAAGTATGTAGATAATATATAAAATTTACTTAATAAGTGAGGAAGTCAGAGCCTTTTGACTGTATATGAAATGTCCCTAGACAGTTGTTTCTGGCAGGCACTGAGGTTCTCACTTACAAGCTCAGCAGGAACTTAAGCAAAACACACAACCTAGTTTGAACTCAGGGCACAAAGCTCATGAACCAGTAGTCGTGTTCTGCTTAGGGTAGAAGCTGTAGAAGTAGTTTAGGGCCTCTAGACAGTGAAGGTGCAGAGCTGACCCTGGGACCACACTTGCTGTCGGGGCTGTTGTGGTATCTGATATCTCTGGGACACTGAAACAAATTTATCTGAGAACCGAATAATGAGATGGAAGTGCACACAAAAATGAATGTCACGTTGCAATATTCAGCTCCTAATGAGTAAACACAAACTATATGGTGTTAGAAAACCCAGATGTTCAAAATTCTGGGTTGCATATGTGTTGCTGTTGCTCAACAAAATACAACATGCTCTATGGTCATGTTTGTTAAGCATCGGTTGGAGAATCACAGTTACCTCATACTGTCAAAGTAAAAAAACACATGCATTTCATTTCCTAAGGGTTTTTTCCCAAGCTAGGAGTAACAAGCAATGAGAAATCTGATAGAGGCCACGACCTCTGCTAACCTTTCCCTGCAGATGGGCCACAAGGCATCATCCAGGAGTTGCACTCTGGGACGGTGGAACGAGAAGGGCAGAGGTAAGACCAATTGCAAATCTCCATGGACATAGCTTGCCTTCACCTCACTAATGGTTGGAATAACAGCTTTTTTGTGACACTCTCTGTGTGATCATTTATATTCATCTTATTTTTGATGCCAATGACAAGAAGTCATGAGAGGCCCTGTTAGTTTAATTTAGTCTTGGGCATCACAGCATCAGGCTACTGGCAAGGCTTTTCTGATACATCTTGATTGGATGGTACAGGAATATTCCTGTATTGTGCCTTCATATTGCTCCCTTCTATTCACAGCTTTCTGTGGCAAGGATACCACTGCAGATATGTAGGGAAGCTAACTATGTTTAAGAACAAGTTGGAGTGATGAAGTCTTATTATAAACTGGGGGCTTGAGGCAAATGCGAGGGACTGTGAAATGAGCAGCAGGAGAGGAATTTTCTGGGATATTATGCTGCAACAGAAGACTGGACTTAATCCTGTAGCAAGCTGCAAAGACACAGGAAGTGTTACCAAATTCCTGTTTTCCCTATTTATCTGGATTACAGGAAGAAAAGAAAAAACTGATGCTGTGGAGACAGAGGGATGGTTGTGTTCTTTCAGGTCCTGTATTATCTTCTAGTATTGTCATCTGGATGGAAATACAGGAAGTCATGAAAAGAAATGTTAGAAAAAGATTTGTGGGTGGGACTTTCCTCTCACTGACTGGTAAGTCTGCTTGCCACTTTATGTGAGCAAAACCAGGGATAATATTTGTTCATCTGTTTTATTCACTGGAGTTTAGCTGTAATTATCTACACTTTACACCATATTAGTAAATCTACTCCAGAATATTATATTATGATAATTAAGCCTCAGTAATAAGAGAACTTGCTCAACAGCCTTATTATTAAATCTTTGCTCAGATGTGGGGGGACACTATCAATTTTGGTGTGGATTATAATGAGTGTGGATTAGTGAGGTTCTGCTTTAATAATAATACTGAGCAGTCAACTAGGAATTTTAATCTTTAAAGTGCTTCTCAAGCATTAAATAATTAATCCCCATAACACTCCCATGAGATAGGTAGGTAAATATTACTATCCCTGTTATACAGATGGGGGAAGCCTGGGGTAGGGTAGTTCAGATAGACTGGCCAAAGCCACTGGGAGGGTAATTGCTAAAGAATGTTTAGGACTATGGAAAGGACCCAGTATTTTTGCATTTAAAAAGTAAGGAAAAGGTAGTGATTTTCTGGAGCTCAAAAACATTACCCCAAAACTGAAAATGTCTTCCCAAGTGTCCCTCTTTTTTTCAAAACTGTGTTTTCTATTTCTATATCAAGAGATACCTATGTAAGAGTTCTACATATCTTTTAAAATAGAAATTTGCTATAAGACAGAAATAACTATTGGCACCCACTTATACATACACATCCACTGTTATTTAATAGAAGCATGTTCTGTTTTTCTGCCAGCTGCTACATATCTATTAAATACTAAAGACATGTTTGTTAAGCAGGTTTTAATATTCAATTTTGCCCTTGAATAGTTTTTACCCATAGCAACAAAACATTGTAGAACCTTTGGGAGCCCGTATTCGAATTGCCTGATGGTTGTAGACCAATTTTATTAACCAGTATATTGGTTCATTTAGTTATGGTGTGTTTTTTTTTTTAACACACCACAGATTCCTGAAATTAAGTTGGTATTGCTAGAAATAAGAAGGTGGTATTGGAAATGCAGCAGGAATATGAATGAATGTTTGCAGTTCCACCAAGGTGGTCACAGACAGAAAGGGCACTTTTCCAAAATGGCTATTGATTTTTACACTGACATCAGATGAATGATATACAGGGTAGTTCAAGTTTCGAATAACACCCAATCTCAGCTCTAGAGATTTCTAAAATGAGCATTAAAAATAGGATGAATGGGATCATCTGCTCAGTACTCTGAAAAGGCAGGAATATCTTCAAAGTACAGGCCAAGATGCTTTAGCCATTTATTAAACAAACATAAAAGCTTCAGACATTCTAATGGAGTGAAAGAAACAGAAAAATGCATCAGACTGCAGACTGGAGATTTCTGAAGGATATAACTATATTCAAACAATAAAACCACAGTATAAGATCCCAATTTTTAATCTATTTTTTTTTTCAGTATAAATGCAGTGGTCACTAGTAAGGGCTACCAAATCCATGGTGCAAGGAAGCATAGGCAGGTATCACTTGATCAGCATGTACCTTCCAAACTACCTGCATCTCTCCTGTGCTATATCTAAGTTCAAGTAAGCCTGCTGATCATCTTCCAGAAGTGATTATTCATACAAAATGGAACAATTCCTTTGGGTGAAATATGGGCTCATAACGTTATGGTAGGGCCTCTCCTAAGGCATACTAGATTGGTCAATATATCTGTTCTGCATCAGGAAATTTGACTGCTTGCTCAGTGATCTCATGAATTGGCCACATTTTTGGTTGGGATAAGCCCCATCAAGATAGGCTCTTTAGGAAAATCCTTCCCCTCCAAATACTTGCATTAAAAACACAGGAAATGGAAACATTTTATAACAAACATATTTTCATTTGACATGACTTTTTTTATCAATCAAGTATTTCAGTTTTGATGTTGACCAGAACTAAAGTGCTTTTGACTTTCTGGGTACATTTTACTGAGAAAAAATTTCTGTTGTAACACTTTCTGCCAAATAAATAATGAGAACCATTCACAGCTGTGTGACTGTGCAAAATAACTTTAGCTATATTTATAGAGGATTTACATTTCTATTTATTCTAGGAAAAACACTTATTTCCTGTGTATGTTATGCTACAGGAGGACAAATAAAGATGATGCCCAGAAAGCTGTGGTTATGAACACATAGAATTTGTGCTGGAACTGCAGTTCATTGAACTGACAACTGGGACTTGCAAAATGGCCCTAATGTCAGCCTGGTTATCCAACCTCACAATCTCTCTGAGCTACATTTAGTGAAGAACAAAGCAGAGGTAAGGTGAGAGTACAAGGAATGGTGCAATTCGCACTTCTACCCTTTGTGGCTAGGAGGTCTTTGATGGTGACATACACACTTGAACTACATGGGTACATTTCCAAATACCCTTATATGTGCCCAGCTCTGCAGCAGCAAAGTATAGGCAGGTGTCTGTGTTCAAAAAATTCTTATTTATAGACACAGATTAAGCTCTAACGGGAAACACATGCAGGCAATTGACTACATTATCTGAATTTGCACTCACAAGACTGAAAACTTAAAGCACAACTTCCTGCCAGGGTTCTGGGGGCAGGAATTCTGTGGGCATCACGCTGGGGGAGCTGCTTGAACCTCAAAGGCTGGAAGAACACCTTTGAGTAAAACTCCTTTTCTATTTCCAATCTGTCTAGTTCAACATGTAAGACTGTCCTTATAATTGTAGCAAATATACTACATTGTGCAAGTCAGCAGCACACAGAGCTGAACGCATCTGAACACTTCTGTGTTTTCTGTGATGACAGCAATCAATAAGAAAATAGAAAAAATAGGTTTTCCTTTTCCTTTACTTTCCAGGTATCACATCTGGGCCATGACTCTGTATTACAAATTAGATGTATCTGAACAATCTGTGCAGTTGGACCTGATTCTATGAAGAAAATGGCTTGAAATCAAGAGCAAAGTGCTTTGTGTGAATTCAGCATAACCATGGCGTTTAAAAAATGAGTGTTGCCTTACAGCATGTTCCAAAAAGTCTTCACTTTTACCTTAGCTATTTCTTCAAGAGGCTGCATATAAATATTGTTTGAGATCAGCATCTAATTTCTACCTCCATATTATTAATACTTTTGCAAGCCAAGTGCCATAAAGACAGGGAAAATTATGGTTTTGATTCTCAAAAGGTTAAGATTTTCTACCTGAAAAGTCATATTCAGAGGATAAATTTTTGTCATGAGAAAAAGTGGATATATAGCAGACCTATGACAGTGTTCCTTACACTAGCAGCAGTGTAACTTGAAGAACTCATTATTTAGGATATTAAAAGGCACTTGTAGAATTCATAGCTGCTTTGATGTCTAAGATAATCAGTTATGAAAGAAAAGCTGAATACTGTAGAAACTATTAAGTGAGCTAGCATGTCAGAAAAAGTTGGAAAATACTCAATTAACAGTTGTGAGAAACAAAAGCGTATTAGAAAGATAATATACATGCAGAGTTTACAAACCGTGTCTTTAGGGTGGCCCAATAAGTAGAAATATGGGGACCCATGCTTGTCACTTTTCATGCACATGGAGAGACTGGAAGGTACCATTCCTAAAGGAAGGGGAGGAACAGCCTAGGACCAATCATTAGAATTAACAGAACCAGTGACATAAAGACATTTTACTATTGTTAGAGCAGAAAATTCTTAGTAAGTTTAGAACGACTGAGTAAAAAGCTTATATGTAACAGGAAAGAAGTATTTCTGTAAAGCTAAGACAAATAAGCATGCTGTAAGTCTAAATATTAGTGGATTACTGACACTACTGTACATATATATTTCAGGACATAGATTGACCTGGACTATGGATATAGAGTACATCTTGAGGTGCTTCCTGAAGGAGTCATAACAAATCAAAAGCAAAGGGTTTAAAGTATTTAAGAACTGTGCCAATTTATTTGTATGAAAAATCCTTGTATTGGTATCAACTCTGACATTTTTTGGTTTTGTTGATGGGGTAGTGCTGAAACAGGAGATAAGAGTTTCTTCAAGGCCCTTCAGAAATGACTTACTGCTAAATAACTTGTACCTTTTATCTGTTAACCAGCAATTTGTGTATGCTGAAACTTTACTTCTCGCATACAAAACTCTTCCTGCCTTAAATAGACAAAACTGAATCTAAACTCTAGTTCTGTAAAATCACCTGAGTCTCATGAACCCATGGGGTGAGTTGTGTACATAATTTAGCATTGTGTGAAGCAACAGAGACTCCAAAAATACACAATTCAACTCCAGGACAGTTAAAAGTTTGTCTTTTAACAAAGCCAAACAAAGCAGGGGGAGAGAGGTAAAGGGACCATTGTTGTGTAAATCCATAAAGCACCAACCATCATCACGACACAGATTCCTTGTTCACCAAACCTCAAGGATTCCAGTTCTCATGGCTCTGTGCGTTTTAGCATCGTATCATGAGCTAGCACACTCAGGACTAGATCCATACTTCGGCACAGGACAATGGAAGAGTTTTCCAAAATCTCAGTGTGAATGGTCTGGAGTCTCTAAAATCCTGCTTCCTGCAGGAGCTCTTAAGCAACTTAAAACAGTGGAACTTGAGTAGAAACCTGATATCAAACCTGATAAGATGATTTTGTAGTCCCAAAAGTAGGAAGATGTTCCTCACATCTTTCACTGAAGGTGAAATTCAGTGTTTTTTGCTCCTTCCAGAGTGCCAGACAGAAAGCATCCGGGGCAGGGAGGAGGGATAGAGTCCATCTACAAGTGCTAACTGTGCCTCAGCCGTCACCTTTTTACCCTGTTTGCAGTAATTTGATTATAGACTCATTACTTTCAGATACTTCTAGGTACTTATATATTTTAATGTAGCAGTGAGCAATGAAAATTCCAGTCAGGAAAGGCCAGGAGCAGTAAGACAGAAGAAGCAAGCTGCCAGGACTGCTGGGATGGAGAATGAAACATCCCAGGCTTTCCTAGGTACCTTCCTCCAAAGGTATTTAGAGAAAACAGTAATTGTTCTGAGAGAAAACTGAAGTTTTCTGAGGCTGATTAGAGGTAACTTACCTCCTGCAGAACTCATTGCTGGATAGACAGACTAATTTGCAGTTTTACTTCCTTTTTACTTTTACTATTTTGGGATTTTGTGAACAGTTTTCTCTCATTTTACTTTTAGGGATGGCACTTCATCCCAGTGTTTGGCTATACAAAGTACATGTTCTTCTCATGATGTTTATACAGCAGATTTTTGGAAGTGCTGCACACCCAGTAGCTCCTGCTGAAAGTCAGTAACCTCTTAGGTAGGTGCATACACAGGGAATTAGGCAGCCATTGCAAGGAAAGTCTTGGTCTGTCATTTTATTCAAATATTTTTTAATGCCTGTCTGAGAAGTGCTCAGTGCTACAGTGATGACTGTGAGTTTTGTGTCCTGTGACATGTATGAAATCTCACACTCTCTCCAGCCAGACTTCTCAGGCATTACGTATGTTTCAGGATCAGGATTCCCAGCAGTACTCCTAGTCTTCCTTGCACAGTAATGTGATTTCTTACTACGACTTGGTTCTCTGGAGAACAAAGCTGGCAGACTATTTGCTATGAAACATGATGCTGATAGTCTCCGGGTTTGGATGAGCTGCAATAATTCACCTTCATTGGAAGCACAGTTCCTCTGGCTATCCCTACCCTCAGCAAACATGTTCTGAGATGCTGGGTGATAAAACAGCTGTTTTCTAAGCTTCTTTTGTTGCACCCTGCAGTCAGCGATTGTTTTGGAGCATTAATCATATCTGTGCTTGTTCCCTTACATTCTGATGATACCATACATGCTACAAGGGGATTTCTACCTCTGAAGTGCTCTAGGATCTCTGGCATTTATTTTCAAGCAAAATCAGCAGTTGGAGTGGAGGTAAATTATGCATTGGCAGCACACTATTTCTCACCCTAGGTTGGAATAGTGCTTCAGCTCAGTCAGAATTTTCCAAGATGTACAGATTTCCAGGCATTATAAACTGACATAACTCATTCAGGAGACTTACACCCTCCCAGGAGCTTGTTCTTTGTTTCTTCCCTGCGTGCTTTCTTCTTTTCAATACGCATTCTTTTCTTTCACAGATCACTTTCTTATCGTTGATGATTTTCCCTTAACAATGCATTTACTGATGTCAATCACATCATCATTCAAACACTGATATTTCTTGTACTTAAATATATACCACCATATTTTGTACTAACAGAAACTTTGCACTGAAATTTAAAATTTAAAAATTGATTGTATTGTACAGGGAAAATCAAGAAGCTGGAGACTGAAAGACGATAATATGATGGTTTGGGCTGGTTGGTTTAAGTTTCCTCTTTTTAATGCTGTGCAACTAAATGCTGGTGCTGTTGGAAAGATCTTTAAGCAGCATTACTAAAACTGACTTGGGAAGTCCCTGACCATTTTGCTTGTCAGATACTGAGAGAGAATATCCAGGAGAGGACCCTGCTACACTTGCACTGTTATTACATTTCTCCCTAGGCTTTTGCTACACACCACCATCGCAGTCCTGTTACTAGCTCAGTCCTCCAGCCTTGCATTTTTATGCTCAACTAAGTATTATTTCCCACTGATGGTCTCCAGAGCTGGACCCTAATGAGAATAAAAAATATTTCTGACATGTTCTTGCTAAAAAAAAAAAAAAAAAAAAAAAAAAGCCATTTTGAAATATAAAAAGAGCTTGACATAGTTGTATTACATCTCAACTGTGAAATTCTGACAGGAAGAGAGCTACTAAATACTGACTAGTCCATATGCTGTTCTCAGAACCATTTTATCCTCAAACTTCTTTGACATTTTATGTCACAGTCTTCTCTGCATTTGGTTTTCCATTATCTGGAAAGGATGTTCTTTCTGGGGGTCTCTAACAGATGTTCTTTGCAGCATAATGGCTTATCCTTGAGATATGACCTTCTTCAGATGTGGCCTCTCCAGTATTAATCATTTCTGCTGGTTAATTTCTGTTTCTAACTTAAAATTAAAGCAGGCTGCTGTTGGATTTTAGGGGCACCTTGTTCGTAGAGTATTTCTCATAGCTTTGGGAAATGACCAAGGGAGGACTTCAACGTCTGAAGTAACTCCGGAACACTTTTTCAGTGCAGTAGGACAAAGAACTTTCAAGCACAGCTAGTTAGTTCTCCCATTTGGATCTGTAAGCTAGGGATGCAGGTAGGAAAATGGTCTGATTAAACAGCACTTGTTTGGAGCAACTTTTATTTTTCAGTATTCTGCATTTTTACTCAACTAATGCCAAGTATTCCAAATGCCTTTCCAAATGGGGAGCTTGGCTTTAAACAATCCTGCAAAGTCACCTTGTCTCTTTCTGTTAGCACTAAAAGCTGTGTCTGGTTTTCTATATGCATTTTCTACTTGTGATCTTCTGTGGTAGGGAAGGTTTGTGCACATTTACACCTTTTGGAAGATTTGTTTTCCCAAAGTAATGCTATTTACACTGAAATTTTTTTACATCTATATAAATTTTCTTATGATTCTGGAATAATATACAGATTTATAAGATTATATAAACGATGGAAATCAATTTTGGTTTTGTTTAAGTGCCATTCAGAACTGGGATCTTAAGAAAGATTTGGAATGGGTCTGAACTACAGTTGATTCTTTGCTCATAGCAGCCTCATGGATCTGTTAAATTGTTTGCTGAGGAACTGGAGAACTGTTGGTAAATGGTTCTGCTACTTGAGAAGGATTACTAATCACTTTATCAGTCCTGGATGCTTGTTTGTTCTTTCATTAAAAATGATCCACCTCTCCCCACAAAAAAGTTTTGGAGATGATCTGAAATTCTCTTGGAGGACTCTGTGAAAGGATTATACACCGGATATTAAATGTTTTAGTACCTTTTTATCAGAACCCCTGAAAACCACTTTGGCTTCGTTTCTACTCACCAAAAGTATAATTCACTAACTTTATCACCAGATGAGTGGGTTATGGCCCACATTTTCTGGCCTTAATCAGAAGCTCTTGAAAGCCGGAAAAAATACCTACACTGTCCTAAGTATTGGCTTAGTCACAGAATTAGCTCCAGTTTAGAGAATAAAATGGTGCAATTACCATATGCACTGACAGCCAGGAAAGCACTGACTTTCGGTGGAGCTGACTTAATGAAGAGAAATAACGAATTTATGTTGGTAACAAAGACTGACCTGAACCTACAGTTAAGCCCAAGTATTACTCTGAATTTTCAAATGTTACTGTAATTTCTGATTCTAATGGGAAAGGATGCTGGAACTTCAAAAGTAACGTAAGAAAGTTTAATAGAGTTTTGGACCTCCTAGCATAAAGAGGTAAAGGACTATTCATTAAAAAATAACCCTTTTCCTGAGAGATATAAGGCCCAGAGGTGCACATCATAGAACTTATGTAAATATATAACCTGATTTCAGAGTAAACCCTGATTTCAGTTTTAAAAAAGAACTTTTTGTCTTTGAAATTACCTTTGGATAATTTATTTTTACTTCCTGTCATTGCAGTTATGAAATAAGGTTTCTATATTATCTAAATGACTTACACTTTTTTTAAATACTCAAAAAAGTCCCCAAAGTCCCTCTGAAGCAAAATATGAGACGAATAGATCCTGTTTTCTCACCACAATGAGCAAAGTCCCCTTTTTAATTGAGAATTGGCTTCTACTTGATCATCCGTGTATATCGTCGGAGATTATATAATGGGTAAAGTTGTCAAAGAAAGCAGTACATTCCTGTTAATATTTTGTGTCTCAACCTGAGCCCCTCAATTTCATGGCAACAAGATCACCTGCTGTGATTGAAAATGCACAGAGAAGTACCAATAAAGGAAGAAAAGGAGAGTTTATGGACAAATCAGTAACTCCCAGCACACTCAGAGATGTCCCCTAAAAGGTTCAGAGTGCTTCCTCCAATGCACATCTTACAAGCCATTGCCTGTGTCGGGAGGGCAGCAGGCGACAGTGATGTACACACATATATGGTCTTGGCTAAGGAAACACTTAAACGTGTGAGTAAGTCCACCTCTACTCAGGTAAACACTTAAGCCCATACTTAATATGCCCCAGGAAATTACACTATATAAACATCTTCAATTGCCACTTAACTCAAAAACAAAATAATTAATTTATACAGGTTCATGCACATAGAAAAATGTAAAGATAAAAACCCACCATATTCTGGGACCTGGCCTGTTCCACGTTTCAACAACAGTCGCACTCTCCTGCCACCAGACTTGATTAGCTCTATTGCTCTGGCATGTGTCATGTCCCTTGTGCTTTCTCCATTGATTTCAATTATTTGATCTCCTACCTGTCAGGTAAGAAGAATATTGAGTCAGACAGAATTGCAGTAAAATGAGCATTTCAGAAAGAGACATATTCAATGGATCACAGGTTACTTGAATGACAGACAGACACATCAAGGTAAATTTGTTCCTGTCTGTCTGAGGGATATTACTGGCAGATCAAATAACCTCCAAAGTGGATTCTGAATATGGTAAATCAAATGCTGCTTGTCTTCTGCTGAAATCAGTGTAATACCTTTGTAACTTGCCTCACATCTTTTACATGTAAGAGGTTTTTGTTGAATTGCTTGATATGTTGGAATCACTGGAACATTATCTTTGCTACACCTTAACTTGCAGTGTTGTGTGAACCTGAGAAGAACTTTTAAGTTGGTGAAAAAAGAGAGGTTCAAAGCACAAATACAAACTTCCATCATTTGAATATCCAAATCTTGGAAGTAAAGTTTCACACCAAATCAAGAGTTGTTATGAAGCACACTATTAAACAAAGAAAGGTTAGTGCTATGGCACAGGAGTGCAGGTTTGCTGGAGTTCAAAGAGCATGCTTTGAACTATTTCAACCACAGAAGTATTTTGCTGGGAGTAAGCACAGCCTGTGGCTGAGCAGTCTAGTTCGAGCAGCCAACTCCAGGGCTCTAATTACCTATTTCTGCTACTCATCTCCTGGCCAGCTTTCCAGTCAGAGTTAGCTTCATTATTATTTTTCTGCCTCTATTTCTACAGCAGTAAAATGTGGCACTGATGTCTGTGCTTCTCATGCACCACAATTTCCCTCCCAACTTTTCCTCCAATCTGCATGTTTTGGTTTTGGCTGGCTTTTGACACTAGAAACCTTCTCCTTGTGCAGGGGAGCAGTTGCTTTCTGCTGTGCCTGGTAAGCACAGCACTCAACACCTGTAGGGAGCAGAAGCTGTACTGCTTGTTCAGTGTTGTGATACCACAGCTGCCCACTCACTTTGAGAAAGTTAAACAAGGAACATGGGGAGGTGACATGAGAGCCTTGCGTTAGCAGCACCACAGCCTTTGGAGTTCATGTTTTGCAGAAGCCTCTCAGCCCCACTGGAGGGGTGACCCCGGTGGAGCCCAGAAGGAAGATGATCTCCTGGTACTGGTAGAGGTGTGGGTCCAGGTGATGGGCAGCCAAGAGGGGGTGCACGAGGGTCTCAGTTGAGTGGGTTTAGCAAACTCCTTTATCATTGGTAGAGAAACAGATCTGTTCAGCAGGATCATACCTGCCTCAGTGTGCACCTACAGTGTTCTCACAGTGTGTTTCCACTACACTAAAACAACATATATCCTAGAGAACATCCTAGAGACAGTTCTAAGGAAATTATACAGACTTCAAGATGACGGGCACTTCCTTTTCCTCTTACAAGACTGTCTTAACAAAACCAGCTCTTAGCTGGCCTTGGATACTCAAATGTTTTCTGTTTTGTATGTTTGCTTTGCTACTATGGTACTTCTGTCAGCTAAAAGTGTAATCCTTCAGACGTCTTCCTTCCTGAGTTTGAAATATAGCATTTACCAAATAAATGTGCACAATATGAAATGTCAACAAGACTCCTGGCATCAAAGATAACTGAAAGGGATGTCAAGAAATTATCTAGTCCCTACTTTTGTTCAGAGACAGAAAGAATGCTACTTGATGCAGTGTTTCTCAATAGGAATTCATACTTTGTCAATAGAAGCTGCAATTTGATTTAGGAACTCTCCCAGGATCCTGCAAGCAATCTGTGCTGGTACCTTGCTTAACCAAAAAGCCATTGATCCAAATAAAACATTACAGCCTTGCTATTACTTTGTAAACACTGCAGAATGAACAGTGAAGGAAAAAATCAGGATATTTTTGTGTGGAAATGCCTTATTTTTGCAGTGCAAATTTCTTCCTTAGTGGATTTTCTCTGTTAGGTTGTACCACACAGTGCACAACTTGAAATATTCCTGACAACCTCCAGGACACAGTGATGTGCAGCAAAGGTGCTTCCTGGATCATGGCGAGATCTCCCCCAGGTCTGGCCATACAGGTCTCTGCATCATCCTGACTTTTGGATTGATTGGTAGAATGTAGCCAGTGCACAAACTCACAGCAAAAATAGAAAATCTGTGTTACCACTTTCGTAATACAGACAGAAGATGGATTGTGGCATCCCCATGAGGATACTAGTCAGGCCAAAGGCAGACAAAATAACAAGCAGTCTGGGAAAACCTGTTTCTAAATGTCATGAAACAATTAAACTCAGTAGAAATGTGACAGGCTTTTGGTGTCACATTGCCTGAATAGTCCATATTGTGCAGAAGGTATTTAAAATATTCTTGTTAGCAAGTTTTGAGATAAGTACCAGATTAGAGCAAATGAAAGACATGTTTTTAACACTCCTTGATAAATAGCTTTTAAAATGAGTACTGGAAGCTGTCTAGAGAATGTACAGTCCTTCAAATAAAATTCTCTGCACTCCAGAGCAGAAAGACAGAAAGATTTTAATATAGTTTAATATGTAAAAAGGTTAAGTTAATGTTATGTTTTTTTCCTTGCTGTTTGCCTTTCTTTTGTTTTCATTGGTCACTGTGCAGCAACTATCTTGTATTAATGTAACCTTTTCTGTATTTTTTGAATTAGAATATTTTTTTCTCTGTAGACAGCATGTAGCTGATTTGATATTTCCTTTTATTATAAAATATTATGTGCAAGTAACTTGGGAAAGTTAGAAAAGTCCAGCATCTTGGTTATGTGACTGAAGGAGGGGAGAGAAACAAGTTTGGAAATATTAGGTGCTCTGAAATTTACATCAGAAAGTGGGAGACCAGAGGTATAATGAATAGCTGTAAGAGCAGTGGGCTAACAGTGTTCTGTGATTTTGTGTCTGGTGGCTGACTGATGTACAACTGAATTATACTGCCTTTGCAGCACAAGCCCAGCTCTGATTAGATAAGGAAAACAAGAAGGAAGAGAAAAGTTGCCAACACTCTTAGCCCAAGAAAAGCTTCAATTAGATTTTACACTTATATCTGGGAAACTCATACAAAAGAGAAAATCTTGACTGAGGAGTGATTTCCCATGTGTCAGTAAGGTACAAATTCCTACTCTTGTTTGTTTGTTTGTTGTTTTTTCTTTTTTCTTTTTTTTCTTCAGTCTCTTATGGCTGATATGGGAGGAAACCACGCTGTATGCTTTTTCTCTGTCCAGGCATTCAAATGTTCTTGCTCTCTCATCTCTTCTATTGTAGAATTAATTTTTAGATTTGTTGGGCTATTTCTGTCTTTTTTAAATCTTGTGATTGTTTAAGAGGTGTTTAGATACACCCACACACTGAAGATACACTAAGATGAGGCCAGAGGTAATGGCAAGCATAAAATCAGGTCCAAAACCAACAGTGCCTGTTATATGGGATCCTCATTGCTCTTTTTAGGATCAAAAGTTGATTCCTGCATCCCACACATGGGATTTCTCTATACCTCTCTTCCGGATCCTTCCAAGTCTCCAAACTGGAGATATTACAAAGGTGGGGGATAGATAGAATAGATCGAAGTTATAACATTCTTCCCACGCAGGAGAAACACTTACTAATAAAGTTCCCACAACGAGTCCTTTGCCTTTTTGTAACATTAGATTTACAACTCACGGTCAGTTTGGATTCTGAGATTATGCCCAGCAGTATGGTCTGGGCAGTTATCCCCTATTTTACATTGATTTCTCTGCCCTAAACTGAGCACACTGCACCTTAGTGAATTTTATCAGATTGACTGCTTTAGTATGAAATTTTCATTTTGAAATCTAAGTCAGTACCACAAAGTCCTTTTAAACTCTTTATGAATAGTGAACATCTTGGCATCAGCAAATTTTATTTTATTATTTATCAATGGGTCTCCAATTATTAATGATACATTGAACTGAGTTGGTTTCATCCTAAACCCTCAGAACCACATTTGTAATTTCACACTCATAACTACTATTCAGGAGCAAACCATTCAAAGCAGCCTTTGAGAGGGATTATTTTCAGTAATCACTTTACAGGGATTTCACCTAGAACCTTTTTCCTCATCCTTTTCCTGTGAATTTCATAGAAAGTGGTGCTGAAAAGTGAAAAGAAGATTGTGCATTCTCCTTCCTCTTTCTTCACAAAGAAATAAGAATGAAAATCAGACATAAGAAAGAGAAATTAGACAGATGTGACAAGATTTGCTTTCCACGATTCACATGTTGATGGACTTTCTCAACCTTTTTGAAAATTTGTCACAGATTATTTCTGAGAATGAAAGTTAAAGGAACTTTTCTCTATTATTTGACTTTAAAAATAGGGAATATATTTCACTTTCTGTAGTCTGCTTCTAACTTGAACCCCCATGAATTCTTGGACATAATTATTAATAGTCTATAAATTGTTTTCTCTTAGTCATTGAGCATACACAAACATCAGCAAGTTCTAAAAACCTGAATCTAAGTGTGCTTTAAAGTTTTCTCTTTATTCCAATTTGTACCAATTTCTCTTTGTTTATGTTTCCTCTGAACATCTCAATGGAGGCTCATAAAAAGAAAGCAATCAGTATTTTAGCCATCTGCATGTTCTCAGCAAGCAATGGACCTCTTTTTTTCCAGTTCTTCTTGTTTCTTTAAATATATTTATGTTATGTTCTCTTGTCACCTTTTATACTTTCTTTGAAGACTGTTTGGATGTAATTCTGACACATTTAATCTTCACTCTTCATCTAGTGGGACATCAGCCACCTAACAGGTGTTGTAGCATCAAGCTTTGAAAGTCTAAATCTTTTATTGGGTATGACCCTGTAGCATTATCTCCTTTTGTGGAAAGTGACACATTTGAATATCAGACCATTATTTTTAATAGGCATTTCAGCAAGCTGCCTTCTGTGGACATATAAAGCTTTTCAGATGAAACATCAGAATATTTTAAAAGATCAACATAGCAGCATTATCTCTTCGCATGGCATTTAGGTCTTTGGTCAGATTACACTTTTTGATTTTATTTTTGTTAAAAAATTAA